CACACACACACACACACACACACTCACACACACACACACACAAAAAAAAAAAAAAATAATAATAATAATAAATCACTTTTTATGTATGTGTCTAGGTTGTTTTTCCTTCTGTGTCTATGTGAGCACCTTTAAGGAGTGCTGAATAGTCAGTGGTCGGTGTTTTGGAGTGCCTGAAGGACTCTTTAGGGTGCCGCTCTGTTTGTGATGTATGTGGTGCATATAGTGTATGGGTGATGATAGACGTCTGTCGGAATGCGTTCCTGGCTCAGCAGGTGGTGGGAACCAACAGTCTGCATGGTTAACAGGTGGTGTTATTTTTGGCGAATTTTTACTGAAACTGTCATATTGGCTGGAATTCTTTTTTTTCTTTTTTGCTTCGCATTATTATATACGGAGCAAAAGGAGTTCGGGAATCCCTCCACATCTCAACCCGGAAGGCTGGGGCCATTACCCAGATTTGGCTCTTACTGGAACCCGGGTCTAGAGTCCCTTTCTCCTGTGAAGCTTCATGCTATTTCTGAACAAAGACTAAAACTGGATTAACAAAGGACAAAATAGCAAAAGACGAAAGAACCTGCCTACTATCTTTCCATCCATCCCCATCTTAAGCCCTAAACCCCAGAAGTAATGAGATGGTGGAGAAATGCGGACCTACACAGGATCCGAGTGCTGCGGGACAAAAAGGTGTGGAGCGCTTACCAGCCAAACACCCCCTTGGCAGAGCTCCCCTTTGACCCCGACGAATGGCAGTGGGCCCCTATACGAAACGCAGAACGGGGGAGAACATAAAGTTGCATACTTTAACGGTGAAGGCTACCTATCGGTTGCTGCGACCAAAGGTGAACATAAAAGAAAACGTAAAGGCTCGATGGAGGTCTCATTTAAATGTAGGAAATGAGGTTATCCGCCCCATCCGATGGTTAACCGCCACAAGGTCTAGGCCTGCGAAGATGGCCTCGCTGCAGTGGCAGATAGAACATCGCTGCCTGCCCACCAACGACTGGTTGATAGATCGTACATATCTAGAGCAGAAAGGGTGGGCGCTACCGTGGTGTAAATCGTGTCATACCGTCTTTCCATCCCGCAGAATTCCGAAAACCATTGAGCACATATTTATGCAGTGTCCGGGGGCTGTGCTCACATGGCGATGGTGGGATAGGATCTGGACACTCTTGAGCAAGGGGTCCAAATGGCCATGGGATTGGAGGGCCATATTATGCGAGGCATGGTCCTCCCCCACTAACAACACTTTTGAAAACAACATGTTCAAGTTAGGGAGGAGAGCGGTCACGTGGGCCCTCTAGAGAAAACGTCGTATCCATGATATCGAGGGGGTCCGCATAGCTGGAGAAGAGATAACAGACATGATAAAACAATATATTCAACAAGAACTCATGGTACAGTGGCAAAACACTCATCAAAGGACATAATACAAGCAATTCATCAATTCTCTGGGGATTGGTTGGGCAGTTAGGATGGGGGCTGGATCGCATCCGTCCGATGGGATGGCAGGTCTGCTCCGGAGTGTAACCAGGAGGAATTCAGAAGAGACTACTGTATTTGCTTTAGAGACTGGACTACGGTGGGCCAGGAGATCCCATTGCGACCATCCACAAAATTCCCCGATCCCTTCCCACCCCACCAACTTGCAATGGTCGATCTGCAATGGTACGGAGCAGAGCGAGCAGAGTGAGCAAGACTACAGGCCCACAGGCTGATGGGACCGAGTAAGGAAGCAGCGGGTCAACAAACAGGACACAGAAGGTATCGGCGGGTATTCAAAAGCAGTAGGATGTAGCCGCTAGGAAAAAGGAGGGATATGGCGATCTGGCGGTCTGGCGTAGACTGAAGAGGCGGCGCCCTGAAGTGTTATGATTGTCCAACGTTCTTATCATTCCATTCAACTTATCACTAACACTGATGTGGGACCGGGGCTGGCAGGGGGAGGGAGTGTAGCAATGTATCTGGTGCCGGGTTCAGGGTGAAGAGGTTCCCCCTTCCTTCCAATGTCCTGCTCAATCAATCCCCTGGATCCCAGGGTAATCAATGCTGGCAGGAATCCCCCACATTTTTTTGGATGTACTCTAGTCTGTATAAGGGACGCTGGACCCGTTTTCCAGCAGGTGATGCTCCCCACCAATAGATGGAGCCTCTCCCCAGGTGCTAGTGGTGACTGCTCGTATCAGCACCACTAACACTGGCCGCGATAGAGGGTGTTTCAAAAAAAAAAAAAAAAAAAAAAAAAACCCTAAAACCGACCGTTGTTACTCATCTTTCCTATTACCTCCGACACCACCTCCTCTCTGTCTGCTCTACTTAAACCCTAAACCCTACGGAACGGGCAAGTCGCTCTATCCTAAAACCTAGCTTATCCTAACTACCTGTCTCAGAGGTTGAAACTCTATGACTAGCCTTCCGCTATTGTTGTCTTACCTATACCTTTTAAATACCTCTGCAATACCCCAAACCCTTGTTGCTTCTTGTTTGATCCGACTATGTGTCAAAGCAGTGGAAACTTAGCGCCAAGTCTGCTAATGTTGCTATCTTCCCTTGGAGCAAAAAACACTCTTTGGAGTCTTTTGAAAATTTTGGGCAATGAGTGCCTTCCAGTTAGTGTAAGAAGTGAGAATCAATTGGCCCAAGACAATGGGTTGGTGGCTGGTAGAAGGGACAGAAGAGGGACAACTCCACCCAGCGAACTACGGCGGGATGAGTTGGGTCTCAACTGCTCAACCCTTGCGGTATCTAGGGGTTAGACTGGCGGGCTCAGGCCCCCACCACTCGATGGCACCGGACCTCCCGACAAAAATGCTAACAAGGATCAGCGCGTGGTCCCAGGTTTACACATCCGTATTTGGATGAGCCCTCATTCTTAACACCTCAGTGTACTCTATGTTGTGGTACACTGGCTCGATATGGACTCCACCATTCCAGGCAATGAAGGAACTAAGGAGAGAATCAGCAGTGTTCCTGTGGACATCGAACCCAACTAAGCAACATTTTATTTCCAAGGTGGGATGGCGGCAGGTCGTTAAATCCAAGGACCAAGGGGGACTGGGCATACTGGATCCGGAACAGCAACTGAAGGCACTCCAAACAAAACGGATTTTGAAGCTGATCACGCACCCGCAACTACCCTAGGTCCCTCTAGCTATGGAGCACATCAGGAAACAACACCAAGTACAAAACCCCTCCAACATGGAGGGAACCTTCTGGTTATTGAGCAAGAGCTGGGCAAGGAAAGGAATGAGTGGAAACGAGGGAAAGAGCAGAAGGAGGCCCTAGGGGAGGGTCATATTGGGCTCAGTTGCTGAAAGAATGGACGGAAATTTTCCCGGCGAAAGTCAAGGAACCAAGCACAAGGGAGGAAGTCTTGAGACAACCCCTCTTCTGCAATCCATGGGTTAAGGACCAGCATGGAAACCGCGCACTCTTACGACGAAAGACACTAAGTGGGGAACCTGGCTGGAGCATGGCATCTGGCAGGTCAAACACCTCTGGTCAGAAGATAAACAGCAGTGGAAGACGGCTCGAGAGCTAAGAGAGGTGTTGAAGGGAAGCCACAGGCTGGCAGAGAATCTGAGCGAGATCTTGTCTTTAATCCCGGAAGGTTGGGTCAGGTTACTCCGGAGGCCACTACATTGGGATTGCGGAGAGTGGGCAGCCTGGAGCAATAAGGACGCTCCAATGGAAGCATTTAGAATTGGGGTTGGGGGACAGGTGGGACCGGGAGCGGAATGGCTGAGCGCACAGATGTACACAATCCAATCCCCAGGGGCCTATACAAGCCAATTGGACAAGGATACGGCCACTCAGATCACATAGAGACGGAGGAGTTCACGATCTTTGCTCCAGCAACGGATATTCAGAACTTGGAGGTTGACCCAGTGGAGTGGGCCTGGAACCTCAGGGGGGGCTCACTAGGCATAACGAGAAGAATCAACATACTGCACTATACAACCAAGCTGGGTTACAGACTCAGCAAGCGCTCATCGCCCTTAGCTGAACCCTTGGCACTTAGATGGGAGAAGAGAATGCAGGTGCCGAAGGAAAAAGTGGCAAGATTACCATGGTCATCCTTACATCAGATCCGCTTAAGTAAGGTAAGGAGTTTGCAGTGGTTGATCCTCCACGTGGAAGTCCCGGTCAACTCATGGCTTTTTGAGCGTCGCAGTCAGCACCACCATGATCCCTCCAGTCAAAAGTGCACACAATGCACGGAAGGAGTACCAGAGACCCTGCGTCACTGTCTCCTCTCTTGCCCAGAAGCAGCATATCTATGGGACGTGGCCAAGTCACTCTGGACTGAAATTACAGACTCCCCCTTCCCCGAGGGCAAGGAGACGCTTCTGATAGGAAGTGACCCTCCTGCGGTCGGGCCTCAGTACCAGAAGCGCACATTCCAGCTTATAAGGCAATACGTACTATGGACAATATGGAAGCGCAGATGCCAGCAAGCAGGCCATCGGAAACAAGCAAATGCACAGGCAAGAAGCGAAGGAGACGTTCTACAATCTAGTGGAAACAGACATCCGGACACAATGGAAGAGAATCCTCAAGCAGGCCCAGCAAAACCCAATGCAAGCCAAGGACCTATTGGCTGGATTTCTTTTTTTTTTCTTTTTTTTTGTTGTTGATATGTATGTGCTCTAGGGTACGTCATGCGCTGGACCCAGTGGTTTCCCTGGGTCTCGTGTTGCGCTTCCGGCGCAGTGGTTTCCCTGGGTCTCGTGCTGGACGTGTCATGCAAGACCCTCTGCGTGTGTGAAGGAAATTGAGATTATCGGAGATAAAAGATAGGAGAATGCAGAGTGATTCGGTAAACAAGAAAACAGGACAAGGGCTGCAGGAGGATCTCGAGCTCTCAGTAAGGTGATTACTCTGATCTTTCCTTGTTCAGAAACAGGGATAAAACGGGATTACAAGGTATCAAAGTTGATATCTCTACTACCTGACCCAGCTTTTTATGATCTCATTCTCTGCCGAAGGTTCTACTCCTGCTATGCCCATACAAATGCCTCTTACCGCTGCCCGTGGAAGCTGGGCCTGCTGCAAAGCTGAGGCCATAGCCTCTTCCAATGACCTCCTTGCCACTGCAACTGCAACAAGGTAACAGTCCGAACAGATATATTGGAAACGGTAACCCACCACATAGAGATTTACAGAAACTTGTATGCAAGCACTGAGTCATATGATAAGTTGATATAACGGTTACACCAGATTATAACCTTGGGTCAAGTTGGGTGACTTACATGGCCCCTCCTCTGAAATTTGGAAAAGACAACAACCACCCTGTCAACAAGACACCCTCCTCTGAAATTTGGAAAAGACTTACATGGCTACTGCCTTTTCGCGGAAACATTATTGCAGCCTGCAATTCCCCAACACGGCCTGAACCTAACCTGTTCGCGGAAACTACCGGACCTTTCTGGACCTACCCAGGTCGCTGGACAATCCCATCGGGTCCCTCTCGAAGTCAACTTTCACTTTGCACACGCCTCTAGCGAGCCTGCTGATTTACTCTTGTCCTAGTCCGTCCTAGAATTTCCTCTTAGTTTGTCTGGCGTCTGATTTCCGCCCCCCGCCTGTAACTCTACCTATTTACTGTTCTACCTCTCCTAGGACACAGAAACACGGTGTGAGAACAGAGTTAGCTCACGGACACAGACAAAGCCTCAGCAAGCATCACATACAGTCTTGGACACACAGGAAACAGAGTAAGTAGATGTACATAAAAAATAAAATAAAAGTAGATGTACACAACAGCCCAACCAACAGCAATACTCAGGAAGATGTGGAAATCACAGACTGCAACCGTTCGGGGCACTGCTGCAGAGCAAAAAAAGTAGTGAGAAAGGCGAAGACGGACTGCAGGATGGCAAGACCGACAACATAATCTCCCTCTCCCTTCGGACAACGTAATCATTGCCACTTGATCAGATGCAGAATCGCGTTAGTTCTGCACTCCTCACTTCCAACACCTTCCCCCAGGGCCCTGACGCTCGTGTTCTGATGCCAAAATTGTTGCTTGACAGGAGCAAATCAGGTCATTGCTCACCAAGGATGCATCCTATCAGGGAAGATTCAAATGACAACTGAATATACAAGGGGATAGCGGGAGAATAGTGCATCAATGTTCCACATAGGACACAAGTAACAATCCACTCCAGATGAGATAGCAGAAAGAGCAATCATATGCGGATGATAGCCTACCCGCTGGAAACATCCACTGACAAATATTGAGTGGAGGAAGAGAGATGGAATACTAAAGAAGAGAACAAAGAAGAGCAATAAGAAGAAGAAGAAAGCAACCGAGCGAGGTGAAAGGAGGGTGGCAATGGAGATGACACTCAAATAGTATTGTCAGTGAGAAAAAACTCCACCTCAGCTCCACCCAAAATAGACTCTCGCCTCAACAAGTCACTGGCCAAGAATCCAAAGATTAGGTGAATAGTCACAACCTGTCTCCCATCCCTTCTCCAACATCAATGCTAGCTTGAATAGTACCACCTCAAAACAAAGCTCTCTCTCTCTCTCTCTCTCTCTCTCTCTCTCTCTCTCTCTCTCTCTCTCTCTCTCTCTCTCTCTCTC